TGTGTGTGTGTGTGTGTGTGTGTGTGTGTGTGTTGTGAAGGAAAGGAATAGTCGACGTGAATGACGGCCGGTCAGTTCTGTAAACCACGAGCCGCTACTGGTTCTCCTAATGTCCAAGTCTGGCTTTCAGTAAATAGTACTGAGAACAGTGAATAGAGAATATTGCTGATGGACTTAAATGGTATTAATATTATTCAGGGGGAACAAACTATTTGCAGACGATGTTCGAATAGCACAAATAGTTGCCTTATGCCTCGAAGAGTTGATAAAATTTGGTTTCCTCAAAATCACACCGCACTAGTCTCCACTTACTACCTTCTCATATTGGACTGACGTCATGCGTGGAAGTCTTCAAAACATTTTAAGAACGAGACTCTCAAATAGACTATTTCTATCAGTCAATGATCAGTTCTGCCCAGTTTTAAAACCAGCATGTTTCGGAACACACATAGATCTAGCTAAAAGCCACCAGAAACGAATGCTTCATTTTTTCACGAGCTTCGCAAGAGTAAATGATTAAAAAACAGACTCACTATAAGAACACCTGAATCCACTGTTGGGACGAGGAAAAGATGCATAAATCAGGTCAACAGGTTGATAGGAGAAACAACACAATGAAACTCCTATTTTTTTTAAAAGTTTGAAAGATAAAGAAATTGAAGAATGAGGCTCTTGGAAACAGTATGACAGACAAAACAAACAAGCCCAAAATGAAGTTACACGGGCAGACAAGCACATGTACATTATAAGGCCAACACGTTAGATTCAGAGATGTACTGACAGTTTAGTCGTGACACATATACTTTGCTGTAACATCCCTTTTTCAATATCTCACCTGGCCCTCCTTCTTTTTTCTCATCTTGAAATTGATATCAATAATGACTGAAGCAGTATTCACGATGCAGGTTTACCTGGGTTGTATACAAAGAGGAAGTAGATAGCTCAGTTTCTACTTGCCTCCCTTCAGATCTTAACTTCCATGGTATGCTCCAGAGGAGAGACATTGTCAAGATTTTTTTAATCAAGGAAGGTGTAAATCTCCCACCACTGAGCCTTTAAAAATATTCAAATCTTGTCTACCAAGATTATAAATGTTTCTTAAAGTTTAGAAGACATAGTTCTTTTATCACTAGCCCCCCC